GTGATCACTTATATAAATTATTAAATAAAGATACGAGCAAGACCTCACCTTTGATATAAAAAAAAAAAAAAAAAAAAAAAAAAAAAAAAAATAAATACAAATTAATTTTAACTTACTTTAACTAAAACATCTAATAAATTATATGAACTATGTAATATTTTAAATATTATTTTATATAGTAATATATGCGGCTATATAGTTTAAAATATATTTCCTATATATTGTTTGCAATCTAACCAGATTGCTAAAAATTTATTAACAATTTTTTGAATATTAGCTAATCTAGTAAAAGAAATCTATTTATTTACGTCTTTGTAGTTTGTAGCTTGTTAAAATTCTTTAATACATTTATCAATATTTTATTAATTCTTGAGTTGTTTTCTAAAGATCACATGTTTGACACTAAGCAGATAACATGTTATATCAATTACAATTTGTATATTTTCCATAATTTTGTTCTTTTTTAAACCAAAATTATTAAATACTAATATATAGAGTGGAGTTAATAAAAAAGTGACAAATCATTTTTAATACAATTTTTTTAATTTTTAAATTAAAATATCTCAACAATTAATTAATAATATTTGCTAAATTATTTTTATTTTAAATTTAAAATTATATAAAATTAAAATAAAAAAAAATTATAAAATTTATTAAGATAATTGCTAAAATATTTAAGCTTAAAATCAAGAAAACTTTTACTTGAAAAAAATTTGTCTTTTTTATTGACTTCACCCTATATACTTATTTTTTGCTGTGTTATGAGTTAGTCTATATACTTTCAATTTACTATTTTTTAACAATATATAATTTATAAACTTATTAAGCATTTTATAAATATAAATTAGTATAAAGTAGTATATAATAGTATTATATAATACTTTAAATTTTTTAATATACTTTTTTTAACATATCTATTAATAAAATATAAATTTTTTTTCATAACTTTATAGTGAAGAAGTATAAATAAAAAAGTTCAAATTAGTTATATTTTTATTTTCTAATTAAATATAGAAACTAATTAGAGTTTGATTTTTACATGCTATATTGCATTATTATATGAATTTATACTATTGCAAGAATTAGTCTCAAGCCTATTGCTATATATATTATTATATAATCATTCTTGCTTGTTCAAAAATTAAAAACATTTCTATATTTTTTAGCATAATTATATAAAGTTTTTTGATTACCAACTATATTTACTCTACATTTCTTTAATTCATCATTAAGTAAATTTTTTAAATGACTTATTAAAATTTTCTGCTTTTTAAACTTATTTAAAAATTTTTGATAATAGTTGTTAGTTCCTTCTTTTTCATTAATTTCTTTTAAAAATTTAGCCATAATTAGTAACTTAATTGAGCAAAACTGATTTTCTTGAGATTGTAAAGAAATAAGCTGTAATTGTACTTAATATAGCCTAAATAGTAGAGAAAATAGTTAAAATTCTAAGGATTCAAAAGCCTAATTATTTTGTGATAATACTTGTAATTTTGATATTAATAATATTTGTAAAACTTGTAGTAATAAAACTGATAGCACTTGTAATAGTATTTGTGATAGTAGTAATAAAGCTAATAGTACTTGTGGTAGTGGTAATATTAGTAGTAGTAATATTGCTAGTGGTAATATTGCTAGTAGTAATGTTACTAGTAGTGGTGATAATGATATAGTTAATAATTTTAATAAAGACAAATATAATCTTCTAAATATATTACTATAAAAAAAGAAATGATGTATTAGAAAATCTTTAACTATACATAATTCTTTGTTCTAAAAATTTATAAATATTTTAGAATTTATAAAACATAATCCAATTTATTATAAAATAAATTAAAATTAAAATTTACTATATCCAATACCCAAATTGAGAGTATTATAAAGGTAATTTTTACATATAAGTCTTTGTTATTTTCTTTGTACAAACAAGAACAATTGTGTATATTACAATGATGCTTATTTCGAATTTCTAATATATTCTTAGCAATCTTTTTATTATGTGAAAACAATGCTGAAATATGTAAAATTTTATTATTATTTTTATAATTACTTAGATTTGTTGAAAGATCATTATTATTTTCTATATTTGGTTTCTAACAATTATAGTAAATTAATTATAGTATATATATATATATAATATATATATACTTTAAATTATTACTTTTTTTTTTGTTTAGGTTGAGAAATTGGCTGTATAATTATTACATAAATTCTGTTATCAATATTTTTTACAGATAACTTTACATATTCAGCCTTGAATTAAACAAAATCTTGTATATTAGATAATTGTATATCAGCACTAGTTTCTCTTTGTATTTTAAATATTATGCTATAATTATTTGAAATAAATATATTATCTTTCATTAATATAGAAATTTTATCATAAAGTGAAAAAAGAAATTTATCAATAGCTAATACAGTTTCTTTAAACTATTTAGCTAGTAAAGTTTTCTCTATGATTTTTACAATTAATTTGTAACCTATTTCACATTCAGAATTATTATAATAATCTTTATTACTTATTTTACTATTGCTTGTTATAATAGACATAGATTGAGAAGGTAATAGAACTATTTTCTAAAAAAAAATATAATATTTTAATAAATATATATATATAGTATATATATATATATATATATATATATATTTATATATATATATATATAATTACAATAATATCTGGCAAAGTAGAGGTGTGGCGACCTAGTGTAGTGGTCTAGTCTTCACTCTCTCCAAGTGGCAGATCTAGAGTTCAAATCCCACAGATGATGAATTTTGAAAAATAGGCTGTGCTACGGTTTATGGTTGTCGATTACTAGTTGGATCTAGAAATCTGTAATCTCAGTCATACCATCTAGTTATGGGAGCTTTGGCGCAATAAATCCGAGGAACCGAAATAACCAAAAACCCATTTGGCAAGTCCCGAGTTTGGAGGTAGTAGTGATCTATGACGGTACCACAGGAGGGCTGAATTTGAACCGAGGCCCAAGATTGGAGAACCGAATGACCAGGTCCTTGGCGGGGGACACACCAGCTGAACCGCTAGCTTGTCGCACTGGAAGAAAAGGACATATACTCCGAAAGTATGGACCAAGAGGAGGGCATCCTTCAGGCACCTAAAGCCTGGGCAGACTAACCCTTCCGGTTTGCCGCTAGAAGTAAGGAAGGGACTGGTAAAGAATCTGGGTAAGAAGACAGTCTAAATGTGGGGTACTGGGGTTGCTAGAAACCAAAACAAGGGCAAGAAGTACGTAATAGGCGCCTAGTTAAGAAGGTTGGTGCTTGAGAAATGTTCATAGAATGGTAGCACCCCAAAAGGTGGTGTAAGATACGAATACGGAACGGCAGATCAATATGTACTAATTAGGAAGAAGTTATAGAAACAAGCACGTGAATACATGTGTAGGACATGTACCGCTGTGTTAGGTTTACCTCGAGGATAGTCAAGTGTTCTAAAGTAGGGTGCGAAATCTGAATTGGGTGATACCAAAATCTAGCGTATGAATAGTGAGAAAACCCATTGGGTTAGAGGGCTGATGGAGGTAGTTAG